GAATAAAAAAATTATAGGAGTGATCTAATAGCGCGTTTTACTGGCAGAGCTAGTGCGCACTCAATGTACTTTAATGCCTTTATACACAAATCGACATAGAAATATATGTTTAATAAAAATAAGAAAATGATTAAAACCATAAAATCTTCAATATATTTTGTTGTGTTATTTGACAAAATACACAATAAGCATTTTATCAATTGAGATATCTTACTTTGATATCAGATTAGAGTAATGTATAACGACTTTAATGTGAACTGAGTGCGCACTAGCTCTGCCAGTGAAATGCGCTATAAAATATTATGATTGTATGCTGATATTGATTTAAAAACAAAAATATACATTAACAAAATTAAGAACAAAAAAATGGGAAATCCACGTAAACTATAAAAAAAAGCGTCACAATCCAGAAAAATATACGAATAACACGAAATAATAAAATATCTAATAGTTTCGCATCTCGGATAAAGCTTATTTCTATACAGGAGCTGCGGAAAAGTGACCGCGATTAGAGCAAGCGGAGCGCGAAAATGGAATGCTTTTGTAATCCTTGTAAATATGACGCGCTTTACATTAATTTATGAACGAAGCGACCAGCCGAGTAACGTCGAGCCGAGGCGTCGTTATGATGATATACGCTTACTAGGGGTGTTATTTGGATTTCATTACATGCACCGACAGACGCCACCACCCGCCTCTGGCTCTCCCTCGTCGTGCAAATCGCGCGTCTCGACATGCTGAGCAATTCGAAACGAGATTATAATGCGACGCGCGGAAAATTTTTTTTTCGCAGAGAAACGAAAACACAAATTCATTGAATTCATCGCTTTGATTGATTTCTACACGTCCGGAAATCTGTTAATCGGTCACACCGCGCAATTTCCGCCGCCGTGCACGAATCCGCAATTTTGGATACGATAAATACTTGATACTCGCAATAGCCAATCGCGCCAATACGAAGGAAATACGGTCGGCTCGATCCGCTGCCAGAAATTCAACCGGCTAATTGCGCGGATTTCCTTTTTCGTTTTATTTTTTTCGAAAAAAAAAAAAAAACCACGCGATCGGAATAGTGGAAAAAGGCACGCGCCCGATCGCGCTATGAGAGAAGGTTAAGGGTCGATATTTTTTATTGTCGCTTAAATCCCCTTATCAACGGCCGACAGACAATGAGATAAAAAGGGTATAAAGCCTAGGACTTAATGATAGCTGTCTGACGGTAGATTACTTTTACTACTGCCGCGCGTTCTCACCACCACGATTGGACGATCTTCTCGACTCTGGTGGTTCCTCGAGACCGTCTAGCGATTCTAAAAAACAGGTGCAGCCGCAGTTCATTCTTCTTGTCTTTCTCTTTCTCTCATTTTATCTCTCTCTCTCTCTCTCTTCCTCGTTTTCTCATTCCTCCGTTCACTCTCCCCACGCTTGCATTTTTTTCTTTTTATTGTGTACCTCGTCTTTCTTTCTCACTGTTCATGTATCTCACGCGTTCCATAGTTTCATCTCGTTCTTCCCGTATGATTGCGTCTCGTTCTATTTCTTTCTCACGCTCTCGCTCACTCTTCGTAGCCGCTATTGGGGTTTACGGTTACGGTTAAGTAGAGGGCAAAGAGATCGTATCGTTTTCCGAACGATTTGGCTAATCGAGTGCCGGTGGCTCGAGATCTCCTTTTCCGCTCCCCGATCGCAACTACGCACATCCGAAGTAATACTAGGAAACTCCATGGACGAGTATTTAAACGGCGATCTCGATGCTTGGCGAAATCTGGCGACCGGTCATTTCCTTTCGAACGACGATCCTTATAACGGTGTATTGGCGAGTTATACAATTGGATCGGTTAACAAAGACGTGACGATAATGCTAATAATAATATTAGGGAAACAACATACGTATGGAAGCAATCTAGTATATACATACGAGTATATGTATACAAAGTTCATTCACTCGTCTACCATCGTGATTGTCTATGCAACATAATAATTTAATTGTTCTACCAATATACATTACTCATTTCCATATTGAAAAATGATATATTTACCTTCATGCACTATAAAAGATATTCCAATATAGAATAATTGAATTTGATATTTGACATTTCCAATTTATTTAATCATGAAAGCATTATTGGCATGTAGGAATATTTGATAACCCGATATATTTGAGTTTGTAATATCTTTCGAAATCAACACAAAATATAAATATAAATCTATTATTAATCTTTTAAACTAACTTTTAAATTAACACTAGTAGTTTTTTTAACATGGCCGGAGACCCTACCGCGTCTCCTGATATAGATTCCCTAAGCTTTCAAGATAAAAATTTTATTATTTCAGAAATATCTTTTTAATTTCTTATTCTGTTCATATATGAAATAAATATTATTTTAAATTTCTCCCGCGAAATATGTACTTAAGTCAAGATTAAATTTTAATTGGACACCATTGTATTTGCAATGATAAATTGTCGTTCCAACTGTTTGGCTTTTCATATCCCGTTTAACGCGGAAAATTATCCTTATCGTTTCGCCGCAAATTGACGTATTAAATTGCCACCGCCGTATTCGGCAAATGTTCGAGCTCGGTCAGTGTACTATGGCTAGTTAGGAAAAAAAAACTTCGAATAAAATGGAGTCCGCTGGATCGAAAGTTAAACCAGTTCGAACAGAACATGTACCTGGATCAGTGCCCTTCTTTTCTCCGCAATTGTAATAATAAACGGACAGAGCGTGGCGATTGCTTTCGATCGAGCGGCCAATCATCGGAAATCAATGTGGACGAAGAACGAACTATCGCAATAGTATATTTCAAGGAGAGTTTTGCGGCGATAGAGAAGACTACGATTGGGAGATTTGCCAAGCGAGATCTTTATCCGTTTCGAACTGTTTCTAACGTTTCTAGCGTTTCTTCCGCGTATATATCTATGTGCATTCTCAAGCGATATTAAAATACGTCACATTCGTGTTAATATGAGGAATGTAATTGACAGCCTCTGCTATGTCGAACTATGCTCATATCATGGACAAAAGATTAAAGAACGATCAACCTATTTTCGCGCGCATATCATACACCATATTTTACGCGACTAGTAAAATCTATATAAATACGTGAATTTTCAACTTCAATAATTAAATTCAAAAAACTGAATATTATTAGAACGTGATTTTTACTTTAACTCCTTTTTTACTTTTTCTAGTTTTCTCGAAAACTCTTCTTTATAACGTATATGTACATCTACTGTATACAGACAGAAAAATATCATTCTATTGTTAAACAAAGTGATTACTCAATTGCTGTCTTTCTTTTGAGTAACGATTATATTTAACGCGATTATATTTAACAAAGAATATCTTTTGATAATAATTTTAAAATATACTTCTTGCAAATTTGAAAAGGTACTCTTATTATAATAATATAAACTCAAAAATTTTCTCTTTAAAAATTTATCGAAGAAGTGAATTTAGCTTAATAAACAAATCAAATTTAATAATCTTGATTAAAGCATTTTAGTATTCAGAATATATATGTATAATACTTTAGATATTATAAATTTGATACGAGGGGGTAATCACTATCTGAAATATTGTTTCACAGATTACATAATTTCATTTGATTTTATATAATTTTATTTGATGATAAATAATTTTCCTCATTATATATGCGGTCATTCGGTAAAATAAACGATTTTATCTAATATTACACAATTATTTCTTGTAGTTGCATATGTAATTATCGGATTATATATCAAAATTTTATATAAATTTTGTAACGATTTCAGGGACTCCGTCCCATAATTACATTAAATGATTACCCCCTCAATTTGATGCTTGTAATGAACTTATGATTGAAGGTTTGCAAATATTTGAACTTTTGAAATTAAAACTTGAAATAAAAGTAATTATTATTTACGGACAATGTGCATATGTTTATATGTGTATTTTTTGGATTAATTTTGTAAAACCTAGAAGTACAGATATTTTCATTTTTTCTTTTACCAGACGTATATCCTTTAGTACCGCCAGGGGCAAAGTTCGATCGCAATTATACGCGGTAAGACTGGTTTCATAAACGCCAAATTGCACTTTCTATTCGAGATAAGTCCCAGGTGGGAGACTACCTAAAGTTTACGAGATGAATGCAAACGCGCAATGTGTCTACTTTATAGTGCATTTCTCTTTTCCTCCCAACCCCGGTGGCCGTCCACCTTCCTTCGCTCGATACACCCCACCATGGGTAGTCGATGGGCAAGAGGGAGACAAAGAATGAAAGAGAGAGGAATAAGAGAGATACTGAACTAAAACAAAATTCTGCCTACGCCACTGTTTCGAATATTACGGCAGATATTTCAAACGAACAGACACAATGGATCACTGCGCGTAACCCGCATGTAGCTCATCGCCGCATTTATAATTCAGCCGTCTGAAGTGGCAATAATGGCGAGCGCCACCGATACTTAATACTGCCACGTAGTTGCCACGTTGAAACTCGACGTAGTAATGGAGTATATTATTTTATTTTACGATACGAGCGCAACGGTGTGCTCACTCGATCTCGAAGGTATCGATATTGCTAGGCTTCCCCGGTCCGATTTTAATAAATTCCGACTTTACTTGCAACGATACACTGACTAGGAAACATTCTATACCGCCTCGATTTTATGTAAATAAACTTTAGTATCGCTTGCTATCTTAATTTTAACGATAATTTCTGTGTGTAATTTAAAGTTTGATTTTTCTTCAGGAATATGTAACTTGACTGATCGAAAAATCAGTTGTAAGATCGTTAGAAATCGAATATTATATTTTAGTGACAAAATACCAAATTTATAGGAAACAGAAAGCCTGAATCACACAGCTATCAATTTGAGAGAAAATAGAATAGGTATACAAAGGTGCAATAAATCGTGGCGAGATTTTGCTCTATTTTTATTGAACGTTATAGCTGCGGCCTAGAAAGTTTCGACGATTCGCCCTTCTGTCCTGAGTCATTTCCTTTTCTTTCAGGAAGGTATCGGCTCACTAAAAGTGGTGCCTGGGGGAATCGAGCTAAGAGGTCAAGCTGCCGTGTTAGACGCCCTCGTAGCCTCTAGCCTGAGATCTCAGAGGGGCAAAAACTTAGTGCTGGAATCATGGAGTAATTTTACGGCCTCGGCGAGATCTCACGATGGTCGGCTTCTCGCGCGATTAACAGTTGGTAAGTTATATTGATGGTTGCGTACAGCAGTCTGCATTTTTCACACAATTTGACGTCAAGAAGTAATTTTAATTTCTCAGAGAGAAATGAATTTATATAAATGTCCTAATTTAAAGCTATATATACGGAGACTATGTAGTTTCATGAAATATTCTATATGGATTATATATACACGGGAAAAATTACTTTGATGAGATATTTTTAAAAATCTAACTACATACATATATAACTGAAGATAATTTTAATAATCTAATTTTATTAGATTATTAAGATAATTCCATAGGAATCTCTAATGATGAGAAATACTTTAAATTTCTTTACATTCTAATCAGTAAACGCTATGAGCGTTTTACATAATAATTATTTTAATAATCCAAATAAAATTATTTAAGAGAAGAAGTATCGTGCTTATAATTTATCATTCCAGTAATTTCAGCGACACATTTCTCGTTAGTACTAGCACAGATCTATACTCTACAATTATTATTAAACAAAGCTGCTTTTTTCTAATTTTAGTTTTTTAATTTAAAAAATAACTGTTTTTTATTTTTTATAAGAAACCGTAAAATTACGAAAAGTGCTATTAGAATTGTTATTAATTTTTTTTTACATTAATAGAATGTGCTAATTTTACTTTTTAATATCCAAAAGTGGAATTTGTCAACTATATTAGCACAATATTCTATTAATATGAAATAATAATGATCTAGTAGCACTATTCGTTCTACTGTTCTATGGTTCCTTATGAAAATAAAAAAAGACTTGCAATTTTATATCAAAAAACCACAATTAAAAAGATTATGTATTAATAATTTCCTCTATTTTACTTCTTTTCTAAAATAAAAAAAAAAAGATTATTTCCACTTTTAGCTACAAATCCTGTTAGTACTATTTGTTTCACCGTGTATGTAATTTGAAAACACAAATGTCAACAATTATTAATACACTTTAAATGCAGGGTATTAAAGAAATTATTCGACATGTATATGATAGTACACGCCATTCTGAGTAAAGAAGCCTTATTGTTAATGAACATAAATAAGAAACTCAATAGTTTATAAGATATACGTACATAAATATTATATTAAGTATGTAATATTATAACTGACTTATTGACTTCTACGTGTCGTATGGGATGTCAAGATTACCTCAGAGTTTACAAATTGCGTTCTAAATATTCTGATTTAATTTCCATACACACTTTATAATGAAAAATTTCACTGGTAATCAGTAAGTTGACATCAATCAACTATTGATTGAATAGACATTGTAGAAGATTGTTTCATTTTCAAATTCGATCTGTAATTCTCTCTCTCTCTCTCTTCTCTCTCTCTCTCTCTCTCTCTCTCTCTCTCTCTCTCTCTCTCTCTCTCTTTCTCTCTCAAATAAGCTATTAATGTGCTATTTATCTCAATTTCTCTCTATTCACATCTTACGAAGAGACAATAAATCAGTGTTATGAAACTAATATACAAAGTTATATTTCAGAAACGGTTGAGCTCATTAAGGCGTTTTTACTCAGTACGGTGTGTATTTATCATATAAATGCTAAATGGTTTTTTTAATACTTTGTGTAATAATTACTAATATATTTCAGATAAAAAAAAATCGGAGAGTATATTCAATTAAATTCTATTTCCAGGAGAAGATCGCGTCGATTGTGTGTCTAGAGGTTTCCGAATAACTGATCCACGGGGAGGCGTGCTCTTCTCCGCGGACAGAGAACAAGTTATCGTGGGAGCGGAAATGTTGAGGGTGACCGGCGACGGTGGTGCCGTTTTCCAAGGGAGTGTGCAGACTCCGCTGGTCAGAGGAGAATCAGGACGCGGTCTTAAGTAAATATATTACAAATACTTTTAACAATGTATGCACAATGTAATTATATACAAATCGAAAGAGATTCCTTTGACGTAGACTTTCCTACCAATTTAATCACCTAATTGAATACCTAATACAATATTATGCTACAAATAAATCATTTGTAGACATTGTTTTAAAATATTAGGCAATTATTTGTGATCGTTAATATTCATATCAACAATTTCATCAAAATGTGAATGCGTCGTGCACATAATTATATTCTAGCAAGTAGTAACTATATAAATAGAGTCAGACAAATTGAACAGCAGTGTTATCGTTGAAGTCGGACAGTTGCAAAAATAATTTGTTAAACAGGTTAAACTAAGATATGATCATCGATCATCAGCTCTTTTTAGAAAATTCTGCGAAGTACATGAAGTTTATAGGTCGAGGATAAAGCGTATTTATATTTAGGAAGCAGTGCATCGGTAGGCAAACTAATAAAGACATTGAGTGAATGGGATCAATCGATCGTCCTCGTTCAATCTTACGACTGAATAACAACATATTGTAGCGATGTTTCATTTCTTCGCGAAGAAGCCATTTCGAAAATGGCAACTCCCACCTATCTATACCTTCAATCATCACACCTTCGCGCAGCTTCGGCCCGAATAAGCTCGTACAATCCCTTAACCCTTCCGTACCTTGTCTTCATTCTCATCTCTCGCCAAGCACCTCAGTGTATTACGGTGAGAGATCGAAGTTCGCGAATGGTGGTGACGGGGAGGTTAGAAAGATAGCAAAGAGGGGGACAAAACGGAGTTGTACCGCCGCACCGCGGTTATTGATAGCGCCGGGCAATTTACAGACGGATTTACGATTACAATAAAACTTTGCTCGCGCGGAAAATTATATTCATAGGATTGGATTTGCGCCAGATATGAAATACCGCGGATCGTACGAGTTTCCGAAGAGGTAGGATAGACGGAAGCAGAAGTCGATGGTCGGGGAGGCGACTGTGGGAAGAAATAAAGCAGAGTAGAGCGGTAAAGGAGCAGCTTCACGGAAAACGAAAAGAGACGAACGAACGCATGGACTGTCTCCTCCGGAAAGAGAATCGATTATTGCTCGAGTTCGACTTTGGACTACGGGAGTCAATACAGATATTACTCTGTTGGTGGAATGCTTGGATATAATACGACGGTTTACGGGCACACGAAGATTTACGGCGTAATCCGCGTCATTGTTGGAACGTAATGCACTGAAATTGAAGTATACGAGTTCGATGCCATCGTTCATCGAGCAATGATTGTATCGCTGTGTAACGTTGGTGTTTTAATTCGAATCTCGGAGTTAAAAAAATAATATAATTAATAAAATTTTATAGAGTTGATTGTTTAAATAATAGTTCTATAGAATAGTTCTATGGAATGCATTCATTTAACATGTGGTTTAGTGTCTTATTAAAAAAATGTATTCTATGTGATACATCAATTATTTAAAATTTATGAAACAAATTTACAAATATGAATAAAATATGAATAATAGAAGATATTTTACAACTACAACTTGATAAAAAAATAGTTATAGACTTTTCAGAAAAAATAATTTCAAATGTAGTAAAAAATTATAATTTTTACATATTTTGTAGAATACTTATAGATTTTAATTAATTGTTTTATTATTATATCAATTTATTTACGATACAAGAATGTATTCGTATAGAATGTTAAATATGTAACTTATTACGTTATTTTGTTATATTATGTTACGAAAAATCGTAATAGCTAGATTATAAATACATTCTTGCATCGAAAATAAATTGATAATTTTATTCAAGATTTAATATTGATCATCTATTTAAACCCATCCATCTTAAGACAACAAATTTATGAAATGCGAATTTGATTAATAATCTAAATGCGTTACAATAAATATGCGTTGTAATAAACAACTCATACAATTTTTATAGATCCTTTATCTTGATTTAAAATAAAAGATAATTTATACCGATACGATGCGCGACGACAGAGTTGTAACTATGTAGCTACATTGATTTGAAACATAAAAAGGTACCCAAATTATTATAGGCAAGTGTTTAAAGTAATTAGTAATATCAACAAGAAAATTATTATTGCGTATATTGAATTTCTTATATTTAATTGCTCTTTAAGAAATTTTTTGGAGTAGAACATCACTTTAAAATTGAGCCAGAGTCGAAAAAAAACTCAATTATTTTGAATCTTTAAGAGAGAAATTTCAATTTTCAAAATAAAATTTATTATAAATGTTTTAAACGGCTGGAATTATATAATAATAAAATTTATTCAAGTGATTATGCAACTTACATGAAAAATATTTTTAAATTACAACAAAATTTATATATAAAACTATAAATTTAAAAAATTAATTAATATCTGAATATATCAGATCAATTAATCTGATACTGAAAGTTGTATAAAATACAACAATAAAGCTATATCTGGAGAATAAATAATTAATTTCAAAAGAGTACCAAGTAATAAGGTATAAATAAAGAATATTGCTCACCTTAGAGTTGCTCCGCCGTTGTCCGATGCGTTCTCAGGCCTCCTCGTCCTTTCAGAATCTTTTAACTCCTGTTTTCAAATTGTCAGATTTCCGGTTATGCAATATTCACTGGTGAGCACACACAACACATAGCTAAATTAATTTAAATATATGAATTAATTAACGACATATTTTTCACGTATTCACGCGATACTTTATACGGCACTTTCAAAATTAATACTAATTAAAACGTACAAGGAATACGAATTATTGCATGACTTTTTATGAATTTAAACATCAGAAATGCGACTGCCTACTCACGCGAGACTATTGGTCACAATAAAGCTTCTTTTAAAATTTATAAAACTTATCTTGTCCTCTCTTACATTACCACGCTTTTTTATGTGATGGTCGTGCAAGGTTTTGGCCACGTTCAATAGAATTATTTTACAGTTGAAAATTCTCTTCGTCGAAATAGGACTATTTGTCTAAATTTAAAAGTATAATCCAATCAATGAAAAGAACTTCCAACAGTTGCAAAATAAACATTTTGTTGAATACATGTTGTGTTCACAAGCCGATCCACAAAGCAGTTAGCCTGCTCGCCGAGCAATTGAATTTGATTAATTGGATTTATAAGTAAGAAGTTTATCGATAATTTAATTGCTTGACGAGCAGAATAACTACTTTGCCAGAACGCTCAAAATGACTCATAAAAATCACGTTAATTATCATATTGCGTGGCATTTTCGGACGACGCTTTTAGTATTCATTGCATACGCACCTTTTTATCGTGACGTTATACGAATTTCGTGCGGTACGCAGTTAGCATCGTCCGGAATGGCGGAGACGAGAATGTTCGGAAATCGGGCGACCACGGCAACGGTGCACCTGTTGCTCCCCTCGCTTCAATTCAGAAAATTGCTGTACCTGTAATGGACAAACGGCACATATGTTTCAGGGTAGCGACTAATGTTTCGGTTTATAATCGATCAAGGGACACGAGTCAAAATAAATATTTGCTCTGCGTGAAAATGGAGAAATCGTTCTGGCACAAAGATTCCCGCCCTCGATCGGACGCGTTTCGTGCGTTTTTAAAAATTACCGATATACACGTTTTGAGCTAAGCAAAATAACGAATAATGAAAACACGGGATCTATTCGCTATTTACGTATACGTCTCATTTACGAATCTTATGACCGTATTCGCCGAGCAAACGCATCATGACGCCATAAAGCTCGGAGTCGACCGTTTCGCGCTCGCTTCGTTTCTGCGTTCTTTCGTTTCCAAAAATTACCGATATAAAACGCGCTTGTGTTGTGCAAAATAATGAATAACAAAAATGCGAGATCTATTCGTAATCTGTGTACATTTCTATTTGCGACTGTATTCTTACCAAGCGAACGCGTCACAAGGGTATCGATCATGAAACTTTTTCCCTAGGATGGAAAGTGAAAATTTTTATCGTTGAAGTTAATGGAGAAATTTTTCACTTTTCATTTTTCATCTTAGGGAAAAAGTTCCATGATCGATACCAAGATCACACATTCGAAGTCGACCTCTTCGTTTCTACGTCGTGCCGCCATTTAGTGGTTGATGAGACAAAGGCAGCAACTTCACATTGATACCGCGCAGTATGACGCGTCACGCGAGCAAATTCACACCTAATTAAAACGCGACGGAGCATCTGGAAATACAAAATCGATAGTACATTAAACTCATTAAAGTATTGCAAATGCAATATAGGTATTTTGAACTTGTAAATCTCTCTCGTCGAATGTTATATATTATTAATCAGGAAATAGTCACTTAGAGTATTTTTACATGAATTATTTAAATTATTTACACATGAATTGTTATTTCGTATGAATTGTTTATAGCTTCTTTTTTTAGTTAATTATTTTTTATTAATCTTTAAATGCGCATTTCCGCATTGGAAATTTATAATAAAAAAGCATTATTATTAAAGTTTAATTTTTTTAGAAATATTAGTCGTTTAAGGTTTTCTTATTTTATGATTAAATCTTATATTCACAGTTATCAAATACTAATCAATTGTAGAACATGCAATATATGTTAATAACAGTTATTTTAATTGAGATGTAAAAATACTCCATGTACGTTTGTGTAAAAAAAGATCAGACATCTACTCCCGGATTAATGGATAGTCGATATATCACGGCTTTCCGTTGATTTATTTAATCGCGCTATCCGGTGATTCAATAAATTTAAATTCATGCATCACTCTTTCAACCTGAAAATAGAGTGTGACGTACAAAGCTCTCGACGTGCTGTTACTCGTGATTTTATCATTAAAGAGTACAAAATATTAGTCTAAATATCGTCAATTTCACGATAATTCGTATGTTTGTAACCATCATTATTTCGACGTTCTTATCTCGAGCCTGTAATAGTCACCTGGATAGCTTTGAAGAATATAGTAGACGATTCGACACGTTCACGGGTCGCAAATCATAAGCGGCGATCAATTTATTTCGTTCGTTACAAATTTTCGTATAATTTTTGCAGAATGTTATGTCACGCACGCGGCACGAAGCGACTCAGTAACTAAACTACCGGCAAGTACCGCTGTCACCCCCTTCCAAGGTCACCGCGCGAATGCTCAAGTGATGACGTGTAGTCAACCACCGTGCCGCGCAACGCGATTCACCCCTCACCGTTCTCTGAGCGCTGCACTGTTCGCCGTTCATATTACCACGCGTCGCAAATATTATACTTACCGCTCTTGAAGACATGTATATGAAAAATATACACGGATTATTCAATTATTACTCGTATTGTTGAGCTAACGTACATTTCGCGCTTTGCTTTGTGACGTCTTTAGCACTTATTTAATCTTATATTACTCGCGTGGTCTCTTTTAAATATATATAATTAATAATTACTTAAACATAATTAATAATACCCCAACATTATATCCCAATTTTCATTGTTCTTTTTAATGATTTACACTTATATAAAAAATTTATAACATTCTATGCATAGATAAGATAAATGTCAATTTCTTTAAAATTGTAAAATAATTTGCGCTACAGCTTTGATTAAAAATATTAAATATCTTAATAATCATTTAATTTTTTTAGCGAAAAAATTAATTTATGACATTGGCTGTGAAATATTCTCGTTGTTTCAAAAATCTTTTAAACTTACATATAATATCGATCAAGGCTTGATAAAATAATAGGTTATTTAAAATTAAAAAATGTGAAATAATATCTCTTAAAAACAAAATTATTTAAAATATAACTTGGACTTGTAAAAATTTATACTACTTATATAAAATAAAAAAATTTTAAATAGATTTCACAAACTTATTTAAATAAGAATAGAATTGTGAGAAGAAATTGTATAAAATGATAAATAATTGTTTTAAATATAATCAATCTCTGATTGCCTTATTTAAATAACTTTTATTTTTTTTATTTAAAATATATATTTTATATATGACCGAGCTTTGCTAATTTTTTTTTAAATTGTGAAACAATTTACACTAAATATAGCTTTGACTTAAAAAAATGTTAGTTATCTTATTAGTCATTATTTAATTTTTTAGTAGAAAAAAGTTTATGAGACTAGCTGTGAATTATTACTTCAAAAATTCTTTAAACTTTCTTATAATGCTATACTAATTAATAAAATCAAATTAATGTAGTATAATTATACTCATGCATAAAAAAACATGTATTATCTCGCGCTTAAAATCTAAGTAATGGAATATACTAATTAGAGTACATAGGCAGTTAGTCGATATGACCCAATTATTGGACGAAATGACAAAAATTTTAAATATTAAGGTTTAAATAATATATATGATGAATTTCTTTATTAAAAGCTCAATATTGAAAATTTTTGTTATTTTACCAATAATTAGTTTATATCCACTAACTGGTATAATACATTTACCGTACATTTACATCTCGACATTTAAATACACAATATATAAATCATGTTATATATTTTATTTTAATTATTAAAGAGAAGATTATTGTAATTATTGAAATAAAACCATTTTTATATCTCTGTTGCTTTGATTCGCGTATTGCATAATAATCAAATCGTGCAAAACATTTTTTGATAAATTGCTGCGAATCTTTTTTGATAAATCGCCATCGCTTCGATATGTTCATCAAGTCGTAAATCATAGAAGCCAATTAATCACGCGGACTGATAATCGGTGATAATTCGTGGGGAATAATCGTGTTTCGAAAGCTAATGGCGACACACGATGTAGTTCACTGCTTTGGAAGTCTAATGATGATATTGTTACTTGAATATAATCCAATTCGATGAATATTCTATGCAGTATGTTTAGGAGTGTAATATTAATAATTATAATATAATTATTGAAGTGTAATACCAGGGAAATATGAAACCTCACTCCAAAAAAGGGATTTTACTCTTTTGGAATAAATCTCTTACTCTAAAAAGTGTGAAGATCTGTCACTTTTGAACAAGAGTGGTAATATTTATACTCTTATTTTTTCAAAACTGGCTCAATTTTCAGTTTCTTAGACTGAGATTTTACTCCATAAGATTTAGAATATTTTAGAGAGTAGCATACATAAAATTCCATTTTTTACATATTGTTTTTTACAACAAATTAATCAATATTTGAACATATCAAAGAAGACTTATCATCATTTATGGATTTTGAGTCTTTAGCATCTCTATGATTAAGTTGGAAGTTGAAAATTTATTAACATAAATTCTATTTGAAAAATTAGATTGAAAAATTGATTGAAGAATTCTTAATATCTAAAGGAGGAAAGTGTAATCTTCTGCTTCAATTGCTTTGTAATTGGGAAAATGCTAGCGCCTCGACATTTTCGTTAAGACAATTTGTCTTTGCGTTGACAAAAAAATTTGTCATTAAAATATAAAGCGAGAGAAATGAAGAACATTCTACATATATTTAAATTAAACTATCTACTTTGCTGTAGGCTCGAATCAGCGACGAGGTCCTTGAAGATAAGCGCTCCTCAACGGGTGGTGATTGAGTCCTGGGCGAACGAGATTTCAGCCTCCTGCTTGACGGATTTGAAACTGCAGAGCGTTCACGGAGCCATCCGACTTGACGCTAAATCCGTCTATATAAAGGGTCTGAAGACAGCGGTCCCGGTGCAAGGGCACTCATCTAGAGAGCAACAGCAGCAGCAACAACAGCACTCTGGTAGATCCTCGTCCGCTCATCAAAGCCAAAAGGAGACGACCATCTATCAGCTATGTGCTTGCGCGAGCGGCAAGCTATTTCTCGCCAGGCCAGACGGCAGTTGTCAGGCCGACAAATCGATTTGCTAATACAACTACGTGGTTCGACGATGTATTGCGAAAGTGCAGAATGATTCGTTAGGAATCATGGTGAATTGTGTGACTCGGTGATCTTAGCGACAGAAGGAAAAAGAGAGAGAGAGAGAGAGGAAGAGAGAAATAAAGAACGGAAAATGCACTGTACGATCGGCTATCGGCGCGATCGGGGACGAGGCCTTCATTGGAACACTGCAAACGATATCAAACGAATCTACCGCGCCAAAAATGGGCGAAAATGCCCCAAAGTGCAACAATATATTCGCAGCGAAGAAAGAGTTAGAGAGAGAGAGAGAGAGAGAGAGAGAAAGAGAGAGAACTCGGTAAATATACGGATAGTCGAAGCTAATTATTCCCAGCACGCGCTATTTTTCAATAAACGCGGCGTACGATACGCCTTCAAGTGCCGGGTGTCCTTCGAGAATCTCTGGTTTATTTAGGGCCTAGTCGAGTTAACAAGCGGCGTCACACCTCCCCCAAAGTGCATACATGTCAATTAAATGGAATTGCATCGAGCGCTTTTCCCTTTTTTCCTTCCCCGTATTTTACAGTTCAACGTCAGTCACATTTAATTGAGTTGTCGTATAAGGGCACAATCGGGCGTTGTTGCGGCTTCAATCCCGCGCTTAAGGCACACGTCAATCTTCCCTAGTCACGACGTTTTACGGCACGAGCCAATCTTCGTTCCGTAAAATATCCGACCGATCCGGCAGCGAGACACGTGAATAAACGCATTGGGCGTTTCCCTCGCAGCGGGGAACGCAACCGGCTCGCGCGGGCACAAAGGGAATTCTCGCGAGGTCTTGACCGGAAAAATTCTCTCGAATTCACGAGTATTCGAAGAATTCTCTCTGAAGAATATTCTTCCAAACGGCGTTCACCGAGAGGTCTTCCCTTTAACTTTTTCTCGCGCCAACGCCATCGGTCAATGGCAACAGAGGGAGAGCGCGAGATTCTCGCCGAAAGTCATCGTCTTGCATTGTAAGAGACGTCTCGCAATGCGACATATTTCCTCGCCGTTTCGCGGCGCGCTCACTCGCTCGGCACCCTGGATTTGGCTCGAACTTGTATATTTGTTCTCTCGGCGGAGCGACATTTGGTTCTCGAGATATCTATCGGGGATTCAGAAGAAATCAGATCTCCTTGATACCGTGGATGAAACGTGAATAATACTATGTGTACGTAGCAATGTCGCCGTCACTATTCCGCGACGCGCGATGCCGGACCGAATTCTCATCTTGCGTTTATCGTTAAACCATCATTGAGTCCTTAATCTTAATCCTTTGTCTGAAATCTAGGCCTCTTTCGGCCCAAGCAAAATTTCCTTCTCAAATTTCTCGAAAATAAAAGAGGGCGTTGTCCAGTCCCCCCCGCCCCTCTTAGAATATTTTGTTAGTAATAGAGAGAGATGTCAAAAAATAACTCTAAATTTTTCTACATTTTTCCAAAGCCTACTCTCTAAATTCTTTGGAGTGGAATCTCACTCTAAAGACCGAAAATTGAATCAGTCTTAAAAAAGAGTAGCTCAATTTTCCACCATTAAGAGATTTTTCACTCTACGGAGTGAGATTCACTCTAAAAGTTTTAGGGAATAGAGCGATAAAAAAAATGTGGCGGAAAAAGATCTAGATTGCAGACGGAGAGTCAAATTCAACGCAATCTTAAGAAAAGGAAAAAAATCAGTTAGCTGCATGCAGGATATGAGACGATTACTAAACGTGATGCTGCAGATGACAAATGAAGACAGGAATTCGGGACGCTTTGTATCGCCGAGACATATCGCGCTTATCGCCGTTAGACGATGCCCGGTAAAATCGATTCGACGAACTCTCTTCGAGATCATTCCTCTTTCGTTCCCATCTCCTCGTAGCATCTCCGTCGTCTCCTTGAATATTCGATACTTTATATCCTGTGTACCGGGTATACGCCTCACACGGCGAAACCACTTGTAGGCAAATCGTTCGTAGCTCCCCCACTAGTCCGCACTTTCGCTCGGTGCTGATGGCGCGGGGCATCCTTTCAGGGAGATTACCCCTCGCGAATCGCTTATTTCTAACGCGGTGTCTGTTTAACCCGTGCTCCGATACAAAGTAGAAGCGTTGTTGTAAGTAGAGCGACGGCTGCATCGGGCTGCACGTGCCGCCGGAAAAGGCGAGAGAAAGTTAGATAGAAAGAGAATGTACATGTGCGCATGCTTGTGTGAACGTGAGACGCGTGAGAGATTGTGACGGTAGTTTGACGCAACCGGATCGAATCGCGATCCAGCTTGTACGCTGTACATCGGCCATGTCCATTTATTTATGTATGTGGCAATAAAGTCGTTATTGTTACTATTATTATTAACTGTCGTGGTCTATTATTCAATATTTACTGTGATCTTCCCCCAAGTGTAAGAGGAATTACAACTTTTACGCATATAAGAATATTGCAAATTATAATCTATATCAGTCACATGCCTGCCAGGAAACACCGATCAAAATCGTATATTATTTGTTCGATTTTACAATAAACATCGAAGCACAAACCTTATTGATTGGCGTACCATATATTAGAAGGTGCATATTTCATGACCTACCTTTTTGTGTTTTATTAAATATTTTTCAATGTCTTTTCAATTAACTTTTTGATAATTGCACTTTTTTGCACCGTCATCTATTACGTACTCCTACCCAATCAGAATGGCCAATATACGAGTAGATATATTCTATTTCTATGATAAAAATATAAATGAAGTAACATCTTCCCTCTTGTACCATCTTCCCCTGAATTATCTTAATATATATATATATATTTTTATAAAATTACAATTATATTATTATTAACATTATAGTAGTAACGTAAAAATGGAACTCTTAACCATAATTATTTTACAATGCAATTATAGCCGCGTAAATACCAAATATTTTTCTCTCAATATACATACAAGTGTACATTTGAACGTATATTGAACATATATTTCATCGTTCGATGTTATTGGTCCATTAGCCTTACCATTCTTTCTTTATTCAGCTGAATGTATTACCTTCCCTCTAAGGGCGCAACTTCCAACGTTACAGGTAGGTTTGTTATTTCCGTAACATAAAACACCTACAAATGACTGAATGATATATGTATATGCATAACTATATTCAATATGCGCGCATTCTACAGTTTCCACCAATTATAACTCATGTAACTAACAACTGCCGCGAGGGCTTTGTTCATCCAACAATAGCTGAAACTTTCGTAGCAAAATTACAATTAAAAATTTAACATCGGCTTCAGTTCAAAAATATAAACGACCCTTTTCGATCACGCTTGTTTGTTTGTAAAAACATACGCTGAAATTTTCAAAGCCGCACCTTTGAAATTCATCTATCTACCTTTTACTATTAAAAAAACGCAGTTATTCTGGCTCGACGGCGGCAGCAACGGCGCGGGCGGTGCGAAAGGAAAATAGAAATTTAAATTAGAGAATAATCTCAAGACTAGTTCGAACAGCTAGCTGCATAATATACTATATGTCAAGCAGGCTGACAGGTAACAGAGGCAATCTCATCTAGTACCCCCTTAAACAGCTCTGACGGCAAGGTAATTTTCTTGGAATTCGGGATTAAAATTGCATCTAGCGGCGACGGGGAGGTGGATAAGTGCATAGCCAAGTAGAAAGAGAAAGAGAAAGGTATTCTGGAAAGGGTTCGAGGGTTGAAGCGATTTAACGTACGGACGCTGTAAGCCAATGAGTTGATGTGAATTAGCAGCAACAGTAGGAAAAAATATCTTCAATATGGTAAAATGCCGCGTTGATCCCCTTAAAGCGTGCAAAGCGCAAGAAAGAAGCGAAAAAGAAACAAATTGAACCTGATAAAATAATTAAAGAAAGTTTCTTTGGAATATTATAATACAATTATAGATGTGTTACTTTATTATTGAATTATTTCACATTTTTTTTCGAATTATAGCAGAGAGAGAGAAGTTTCACAACAAAATTGATAAATTAACCCTCTGTCTTTTTCGTCCAGATCAAGTTTTTTTTTGCTAGGCTTTAAAAAAATAACAAGTTTTTTCATGTCTGTATTACATTACCAATTAGTTTTTATACTCAAACGCAAAAACCTTTATTTAATAAAAATTGAAATTTGAACAAAAATGAGGGTGAAATTTGAGAGTAAAGTTTCGCTTGTACCAAAACAGTATCAGCGGACGATTAAGCTTAATTAGTGTGCATATAAATCAATTTCAAATAAAATGGAAATTATATCTTTCAATTATATAGCGAATGATTCAATAAATAAATCAATGTTTATAGCTGATTAGGAAAAATATGTTATAGACTATTTTGGAAAAGAGAAATATATAATTATATTCAGGGGTATATCCGAGTATATCCACCGTCCAGACGAGAATTCTTGTTCATTCATTATACAGGAGGCACCCTGAGAGAAGTACTTATCTAAGTGACTGCTACCACTGGCGGTACTTGTACCGTGTACGTACTCGAGGATCTCGAGTGCGCACGATTTGTGCGATGTAGGTACACGTTAACCACGCAGGAATGATAGTGTTAGTGGCAGTGATCCTAGGTGCAGGATGGTTTCTGTGAAGCATGAAATTGTTGTACGGGGCACGAGACACGTCCGATAAAGCTTTAAATACGAATTAGTAGCACCGTGGCGTGTAGGGCAATCACCAGTGCTAATACATAAACTCTATCACATAAACTCGGTTGGACGCATTCTGCGGCAGTCTGGTGATACCAAACAATACAAATGTTATGTGCAATCATAATAATTGCATAATATAGGTTTAGGCTGTTTGCACTTTTCCAGCATCTTTATTTTCTCTCTTTTCAATGCCCGAATATATATTCTCTAAATTTTTTAGAGTGAAAACTTATTCTAAAGAATAAAAATTGAGCCAATCTTAATAAAGAGTGGTTCAGTTTTCGATTTTTAAGAGTTTTAGCTTTTCAAATTTTACTTATTAGAGTGAGATATACTCTAAAAGTTTTAGAAAGAGTATTCGTGTATCTCGATTTAAATGCAATAATTTTTGGAGATATCAAGTAACGCAAATAAATCTGTTTTCTCTCTAAATGATATCATAAAAATATAAAAACATTAAGAGTCTAAAAGTTCAACTTTGGAGTTCTATTTTGTAATTCTTAACCAACAATATTAATTTTGTTATACCATTGCGCAGTTTTTTTACTGCATATAAAACGATAATGTTACGACATCGACACTATCGTTAAGATTTACAGAACGGGAATTTTATGTTTTCGGAACGACTGACTTACGATGTGTGTTGGAAAATCATTAACGTTTCGGTAAATATCAATGATATCACGATACGTGGCAAGATGTGTCCTGGTATGACATATGCATAGGTGATTTTGAGAAGATATTCATGCGCGTAGGGACATCGATCGATTGTGATCTGTCAATTTTCACTATGTCGGATCTAGGCTTATTACGTCGCCTCTCAATCAACAGTACAGATCCGTGTCGGGTCAAATGTAATAAACTCGCGAGCCAGCGCAACCCCGAAGTGGGAGTACAGTACGTAACATCGGCGACCGTAAATCTAATGATTTACACCGGTGGGAGGAAGACAAACGAATGGATCCACCTCGAGCGGGTACGGACTTACGGCGCGACTTGAAGTAAACATTCATGAATCTTCATGGGAATAACTCCGATGGCGTCTGCTTCGACAAGTCCAATCTCCGTGAGCGCGCGTTAATCCTTTTGCAAGTCGCTCGATCGAGTCTCGCGCAAATTATGTTCTCTTCGCCAATTAAGTTTGCCTTTCGCTCTACATTTTCAAATCCGCCTTCATCCTTTTACGTATTTATTTTTACTCTACCTTTGAATAAACAGTTATTAACACAATCGATTGGAGACAATTCAATTTAAAGCTTATTATTGGCAATTTTATAAATACAAATGTGCATTGCAAATTCAGCAAGTAATATGATAATAGTTAGTAAGTATATTATATTTACAAAATAGAAATGTATTAATTGAGATACAATCATATTTGACATGTGCTTTAAACTGTTTGATCAATTTAAATTTATGCATTGCTATTCTTCGATTAAAAACATAAAATGACAAACAAATAATCAATTAATAATTCGATTAACGGAAAGTTATTCTATTCACTATTTATTTCAAGTATCTCGCATATTTTTACAAAATTGAATGCTTAACGTATGTTAGGAATGTCTAGCAAAATCTGGCGTGATTGTCATATTATATCTAATGAATACTCACGTGATGTAATTGATTAACAATTTTATTGTTCAATTTAATAATTTATTAAAATCATATTAAGAATAAATCTTTCAAAATAAAAAATTACGCAAAACAATAATAATAAACTTAAAAATACAGTTCTTTCTACTTTTTAAGAGATTGAAATCGATTTTCAGAGCAAAATTGATTTTAATTCTGTAATCAATCAATTATCTCGCATGGAGATTATATTATATAACATATAAAGCGCACGCGACTTCCCCCATCTCGATTTATAATAAATATATTCAATGATACACACGTGCGTTTCGATCGACGATGCTTATCTAAACACGTATACTATACATGTTTTACACTAATTTTTTCAGAAAGGAATTATTACACTTATCAAATTTCATGCAAAAAATACGCGTGGCATTCTTTTATAAATAATACATATTGGATTTTTAAAATACTATATATAACTCGAAAAATCGACATACTTACCGACCTTATCGTTTTACAATTATTTATGTATATTTACGTATCGAAGTTCAATCAACAGGCAGCAGCAAATCTTTCGATATATCGTAGACGTTTTCTAGAGATACAACTATTCTTTATGCAAATCAGCAATTATTATTTTCCCGAGCAAGGAATTAGCTATTTCGATTAATGATTTGTACGCGTAGCGAGGTAATAAATGCTTGTTCAAGCAGATGCACATTTTATTATCTATTCATTCGTAGAAATCGAAGCGAAAGAAAACGTGACAAGAGTTGAAATTCAATTATATTGCGTATTTTTACACGGTCTCTTGAATTTTAATCAATCGTTAACTCGCAATGAAAGTAATAAAGTCTCGCGTACACGTCGGGATCGCCGTGTGGCTTGACTGTAATTAACTATGTTTTCGTGAGTGAATATTATTGTGCGACTAAGGAATTTCAAAAAAACAGAAAACGATCTAGGAAGAACATTGACGATGGCGAAAAGCAACGACAGGGTGAGTACGTAATATATTTTATTATTTTCTGTTTTAGAGATTTAATTGCACTAAAAA